TATATATATATATAAAGCATATATATACTATTATCTTCAATACTTGCATTAAAATGTCTATGTATAATTGTTATTATTAATGTCTGTTAATGACAATTTCGCATCTATAAATATGCAAACTCATTCCATGCAGGATATATGTATATATGTGTGTATGTGTGTGTGTGTGTGCGCGCGCATTTGCCTAAGAAATAAAAACGACAAATTCGAAATTGCGAATATTTATATTTATAGTAAATCGGCCGTACATAAAACGGTAGAAGCTTTTGGTTTAAGTTCTCCCTAATTTAAATGTACAAATAAGCATTGTGGTGCGATTATTCACGCAGAAAAGCGTTCAATGTTCAAAAAAATGATCAAGATTAGAAGCCGACGACACTCATACTCACACTCAATATGGTAACAAATTGCAGCCTCATAATAAACAATATGTATAAACAATATCCTAATTGTTTTCCGTACAACGATGCAATGCTTTACGTGAAACATGAAGATTTTCGCCAGTGAAATCTATGTTTAAAAAATTTTTTTACTACATCCGTATAAACTAATGAAATTTTGTTTATATATATCACACGTACAGTCGTAGATACAATTGTATATGCATAAAACCGCGCGCGTTTTTATAAACTTATTAACATTTATATAGATTTAATTAAAAAACATAATTTTTTAAAAAATATTGGATCGGTCAAATCATCTTTATTAGCAATTTTCGATTGCAGCATAGAAAAATGTTTTTTTCATCAGATCAAAAGTGAGATTGGATTAGATCAGGCAGTGTCGTGAAGTGTTTATGTTATTATGCTTTAAATTACGCTCTAAATCTATATCGAGGGATCTATCCCAGGTGGCACGAGCTGATATATAGTTCGTTATGCGCCGTTAAAATAAATAATATATAAAATTAGCAGCACCGATTCGAATTTCTTTCTACCCTTCGATCAACCGTTACTCTGTCGGGCGCGTCTTGTGGTTCCCTGCCGTGAGTTTTGTCCAATATTGCTTCTGCTAGTTCGCTAAATGCTCGATCGATATTGATGTTCGCTTTCGCGGACGTCTCCATAAATCTAATGCCATGTTCTCTCGCTATCTGTAAACAAGATACAAATTTTGGTTAAAGAAATTATCATAGATGTAGTACAGATAGATCGAGTATAGCATGCGAGAGAGATATGATAAAACTTAGATCTTTCTTTTTTCTCTAAAAGTTGAAGAACAACTTTTATTCTGTTCTTTAACAGACAGAAAACAACTTTTGTTAGAAAGAAAAGAGAGATCCGAGTATTGCTTCTCTCTCATATATGGCGGCCACCGCAAAGCATTCCTTAGCATATATTATATGTTCGATTTGTATATTATGTCTATAAAATCCACCATGTTTTTGATAAAAGATTTTATCACATTGCTCGTAATATATCAAGAAAATTTATCTATAGAATATTTACCGCTTCTCCTTTCTCTGTACTAACAACGCGTTTTTCTTCCATATCACTTTTATTTCCTAAGATCATTTTCTCCACATCTTCATTTGCATGCTATAGGAAATATTTACGACAATCATTATGTGTTTAATATAAGAAATGAAACATAAATTTGTAAATTGTAAAATGGAGTATATTATACTCACTTCATCAATATTCCTCAACCATTTCACGATATTTTCAAATGTCTTTTCGTTAGTAATATCATAAACAAGCATAATTCCCATAGCTCCTCTATAGTATGATGTTGTAATAGTGTGAAATCTTTCTTGTCCAGCTGTGTCCCTGCAGATAAACAAAACCATATAAATATATAGAAAATTTTTAATATTCATGTACAACTCACCATATCTGTAATTTGATTTTCTTTCCTCTTAATTCTACCGTCTTGATTTTAAAATCGATACCTGCAAGAAAAAAAAATACTTATGTTCCATTCAATAAAAAGAATAACAATTTAAACACAATTACAATTTCGAGAAATTCTAAGTACATATTTTGTGTACCCTAATTACATTACGAAAATATAAATTAATTATAGAAAATATACTTTGACTATATTTTAATTGTGAAAGGTATCTTAGTTTTTATTTTTTATTTTTATTAAATAATTATTTGTATATAAAAGAGAATAATTTGTATATTACTTAAAAATCATATACATCTCTTGTGCAATATCTATTTATTTATGCTCATACAAATGGATGTATGACTTCGCTAAAATCTCGCGAAGCAAAGTGCAATTTTTTTTTTTTTTTTTCAAAGAAAAACAGGCTGATAATTACACCCTGATCACCAATGCGAATAATATGTACGTGTGTGTGTATGTACACGTGTGTGGTCCTCACACACGAAACAAAGCGGCGATCAGCTCGATTGGATTGAATTTTACGGAACGTGACGGCCGTAATTTCTAATCGAAGCGCGATATTCTAACCTAATCGCCGGGAAAAAAATGCAAGCCAAGTCGTCATCGACGAAAGAATCTCTACCGGCCTTTCTCGATCTCCTTCCCTCACTCTCCGTCTCTTTCTCTCACCTATTGTGGAAATGAACGTGGTGGAGAAGGCATCGTCCGAGAAACGGAATAGTATGCAGGTCTTGCCGACGCCGGAGTCGCCGATGAGGAGTAGCTTGAACAACAGATCGTACGTTTTCTTCGCCATTTCGCCGCCGAGGCAGTCTTGCGTCGAGGAATAAGCGTCAAGAAGGAGGAAGTAAACAGAGTAAAAGGAGCACAGACCTGCTACGGTGGTGCTGCGGTGACGGTGACTCGCGGTCGGCTGGTTGTCGCGATTAACAGCGACGATGCTCCGTACATCGAACGTTACGCACCGGTTATAGCCGTTCAAGGTCGAACGAGGGCGCGTCTCCCCGACGAGCTGCGACGTACGTATACGTATGTAGACGTATCGTGTCGTATCATACGGGCGAACCGGTCGCGGAGAGGCGGCGGACTATTAAAAGACGACGCGACGTCACGCGACGGCGGAATCAACACGACGCAGAAGCCATCGGGGGTAAACGCGGGGGTGACTTTCGGCACGTTCTCTCTCTCTCTCTCTCTCTCTCTCTCTCTCTCTCTTTGTCCCTTTCTTTCTTTGTCTCTTTCTCCTCTCTCTCTCTCTCTCTCTCTCTCTCTCTCTCTCTCTATGTATCCTCTCTGCGACGTTCGCTACTGTTCTCTACTTTGCACTCGGTTGACCGACAACACAACGCAAGATCGAACAACGCGATTCAGTGTTACCGGCTGAATGAGTGCGCGATTCGCCACGACATCGCGCGACGTCGGCGACGGTCTGAAACTACAACGGTATATTCTAAATTTCTATGAATTCCTATTTTGTTATCGAAAAGGGTCACATTTATCTTCGTGATGACCGATAAAAGAGAAGGGATGGAATTTTCCGTTATAGAATTTTATCTTGGTATTTATATGATGTTGGATATATTATACATCGTTTTTTTGAAATAGTTATTTTACGGTAACAAAAATATATTACGTGGAATTATATTTTGTATTTGTGATAAAAATAATATTGTTTCATTATAATGTATTTATTAGGATATCTTCAGCTTAAATTTTATTCGACCCGTAAAATATATTCCTGATATATCATAAATCGTTTTTATTGAAATTATTTAAATTTGCTTTGGTATTTATGTACTACTTATTTTATCTTGATATTTGTGTGAATATTGTTGTATGAATATATTTATATTTATATATTATATATATGTCTTTTTTGAAAGTTATCTTCGATAATATAAAAACATATCACGTGTGGAATTATTATGCATTTAATAAAATTAATGTTTTCTTATTACGATCTGTTTATTATAGAATATCTTTTGTTTATTAAATTTTAAAATCTGTAAAGTATTTTATAATAAATCGTTATGTTTTTATGGGATTTATTTTATTTAAATTTGCTTTATTTATTTCGAATATTAAATTTTAAAAATAGTCTTTACAGATATTGCGTAATCGCTGTGATAATAATATCAGAAATAACCGAGATCCGGGAAATACCGAAATAATGATGATATCTCGTTTTTAATGAAGATTGGATTCGCATAAACTTGTTTTTTTTATATATTACGCATTCACATCGATCTATGCTGTAATAAAAATCTCATTCTCGAATTTCCAGTACATATCAAATTTGCTTCCTACTATATACATTTAAAAAATTATTATGCTGCGATTATAAATATATACAATAAGGGAAGCTTTCCAACAAGAGACACAGATGACACAGTAAATTATTACGTCCTTGTTCGCCATATATATGATGAAATGATCACTGTGTGTTACACAATGTCGCTCTTGTTGGAAAACTTGAAGAATCTCTCATTAACGCTTTAACATATGAATATATATATCGAATATATTGCTCGTTTGTTTGCAAAAAAGAACATAAAGAAAAAAAAAATGTAATTTTATATTGTACGTATTTATTTTAAAAATTGCTTGCAAGATATTCAAATTTATTTTTTTTCTAAAAACTTCGTTATGTCGTTGTGTAGAAAGTTAACGATATAAGTTTCTATGTAGTATACTTAGTGTACTAGTATGTAGTACTAGTAGTGTAGTATACTATGTAGTATACTTAAATAAGTATACACTTATGTTAATTTTACATGTACGTTTTACATAAAAAGTGCGTATATTAATCAGATTTCATAATTTTATTCAATTTCATAATTTCGATGCATGCACTTTAAAATATTCTTTGTTCTATATTCATCAATAATCGCCTGCAATATCGATATTACGTAGATATGACGTCAGTTATTCGATTCCCACGTTTCTTATTGCTATACCAAATAGTCAAGATGCATGCGTTTGCAGTTCAGACGCAAAGGTTGGCGTATATTTTCCTATGCAGCTGCAATACTCGAAGCGTGCCTGCACGTTGGCTCCGCTACTTTTTCACAAACATATGTATGTACATGCCAAAGATAGCTAATTTGGTTTGCGTGGGCGAGAGTTTCCCTTGTTCCTCGAATCTCCTCTCTGCGTTATTGCCTCTGATGATCGATGATGTATTTATTGTTGCATGTCTACGTAAAGATGATTTATTTTTATTTAATTTCGTTCTCAATATAAAAAAGACATATTCATTCGGATTATTATATCGTTTTTGTTCAAAAAATTTGAATATTATTATCGTTATTATCATCTTTCTGCTATTATTGTTATTACAATTATTATCCTTAATTATTATCCTGCTGTATTAATATTAAATTACTCTACAGTGAGTTTGCAGATCATATAAAAAAAAAGTCTGTAAAATAATCACAAACAAATGCGTGAAAATAAAATAAATCTAAGAAAAAGTGTTAAACGCACTTTGGACAGTAGACATTTCGATTAATGCTGCGAATATTATTACAAAAAAGAGAACAAAATAATTTAACTGTAGTAAAGACAGCTTTGTACATGGAAAATCTATTTATGTTAGATAAAACACTCTTTTATATTTCGTTGCATTTAAATTGGAACGATCACATCCTAATTACGAAATGATAATTATATAAAATAATCACTTCTTTTTCTCATTAACGTAAGCGAAATGCAAAAATTAAAATTATTCATTTGCTATCGTAATTATACTTTAAAAAATCAAATATAAATATATAAATGTGTGTGTGTGTGTGTGTGTGTGTGT